ATGCTATCCTACAGAACAAGTCTACCACAACCATTTTTCAAACATCTATTTAGCAAACACAACTACTCATATCGAGAATTACCTTGCCCGACAACCATCCATATTCTGGAGTTGGCCACATTTCTTTAGGTGTCATCAACGTGAGGTAGAAATCAACCCCTGCAATTGATTCGTCGAACGGGTTTTCCCTAATACAATAATTTACAACACTTACTCTAGGGAAGTCCTTAAATAACAATGTACTAATTTAATGAAGAGGAATAATATCGAAACACTTACAAATCTTTCTTGATGTATTGGAGCAAGCAATTTAACTTTCGCTGTTCGACCTCCTCAAATGGGTTGTAATGAGCCTGCCCATGAGATACAGCACCCATCATTCTACGCACAACAGAACTCCCTGCAAATGGTGAGTTTTGAGTGTGCGAAATGACACGGGGTCTTGGCTTTCTGCCGGATTCTTGGTCAATGACGGTGGGAAGTGCCATAAGCCTCTCCAATGCTAGGAGTTTCGAGTCGTCAGGTTCATCAACCAGGTGTGGAATCTTAAATTGCTCTTGTCGAGGCGTCTTATCTGTTTCATCATCAATGACCCTTGTCGGTTTCGCCTCACCCTCCCAGCCTTCTAGATTCACTTTACGGACAAACTTAACTTTCAACTTCGGATTCCTAACCACTGTTGCTTTTGGAAACTGAGGATCAGATGTATCCTGCATCTCCACAGTCCATGACTGTTAAAGCATAACCCAATTAGTACAATGTATTAGACTTATCAATTTAATGGTAGATTTGTTTTAAAAATTTTAAACATCAAAACAAAAAAATCGATTCACCAAACTTGTCAAACTTGAAACACAAAACGTTTAAACATCTCAAACACCACAGTTGATAAAAAACAAAGGAAGTAGGTACTACAAATCTGCAAAGTTTGGTACAAAAAGTCTACCATTACTAGTTTCAAAATGCATAAAAACTCAACATCCTAGAAGAGAGACTTGCGTACCCGATCCTTATTAACCGGGGGTTCATCTACTTTGGATTCGGCATCTTCAGCCGGTTTCTCTCCCGCAGGTTTTGGAATCGGAACGTTGTCTTTCGCCACTCCCATAAATGTATTGACCCTCTCGTCTATTGAGTCAATTTTAGAAGACAAAAGCTGGATTGCCTGTAAAAGCGCACTTTCACTAGTAGTTTCCTGCCTCGTAAGCTTCTTCTTTACCTTCTCCACATACTGACCTACCGGCATCTCCAGCTCTTCATCGTACTCATCACTACTCTCCGCCTCCTCGCTAGTTTCCATCTCCTTCTCTTTCATTTTTCCTTTCTTCTTCTCCCTCAAGTCACTTTCTACCTTTTGGTTCTTCTTCCTTTTAGGCTGTTCCACAAAGTCATCATCACTATCCCTCTCCCCCTTCTTCTCACTCTCCTTCTTCTCACTCTTCTCGTTCTTCTTACTCTTCTTCTTCTTCTCACTCTTATCCTTCTCATCACTCTTCTTCTTCTTCTTCTTCTTCTTCTTCTTCTCACTTATCCCCTCCGTCTCCCATGCGGTCTCATCCAACCGCGATTCGAGAATATCAACTATCAAATTATGCAGCAACGGATCCACCTCTGCGTTCGCATCTTCGTCTGGCCAATACGGATATATTTCCTCCCGTGAAACCTCCAATAGATGCCTAACCCGAATCTGCAATATTACCAAACAACTCTATCAGCTAACAAGTCTACCTTAACCATATTACAATAACCAAACAAGTCTACCCTAACCATATTACAATAACCAAACAAGTCTACCATCACATAACTCGTTAAGCAAACAAGTCTACCGCAAGAAAACAAGTCTACCATAACATAACTCGATAAGCAAACAAGTCTACCATAACATAACTCGATAACCAAACAAGTCTATCATAACACAACTCGAGCAAACAAGTCTACCATAACTGAAGCAAACAAATTTACCATGATGATTCTTCACCTAATCTACAATCAACTGAAGCAAACGAAACTAGTCTAATATCACATAAACCTACAAGTTTCCACAATATAAGTGAACATACCTTGTTGTTAGGCTGCGTACGTACTTCCTCCTCCAACACTTTCTCTAAATTGTACCAATCTCTGCAGGATTTCCATCGAAGTAGAGGACACGGAAATAACTCGGGATTATTTTCTAGTCTCCTAAACTTTTCACCCAATGTAGCCACAGACTCATATGCCCAAATGAGAAGGGCGTGGACACATCCTTGGAACGTGTAGCTAAGTCCTCCCAACGATGCAATTTTAACTGACGAAATTAGCTGCTTAAAGCTGACACGACCCTACGGATACCTCTCAAAAGCTGCCTCATCCAACACTCTTTTAGCACAATCCAAAGGGATCCGCGAATTGCGATGAATACCAAATATGGCTACATGCAATGTAAATAGCAAGCCAACCATCTTCTTCTTCGCGGATGACCATGTACTGCATATTTCAAAAACAGCAACCAACTCATGCCAATTAGGCCCGACTCCTGTACTCACACCCATCTCTTCCCAGAACTCTCTATGATCAATGTCCCACTCATCATCAGCAAATGGCTCACAGTTTAGGCCAGTGATATCACGAAACTCGTGAAGCGAAAACCGCAATGGACGCCCACCAATAAGTGACCAGATTTCGTAACTCCTTTGCACCGCCAATTGGTTTGTTATGAAGTTATGGACCGTACCCGCAGCCCATATGTAACGCTTCTTGGCAAGCTTCAACATCACGCCAACCTGAGAACCGAGCATAATGTTGTTGTAGACATCCTCTCCAACACCCTCAACCAGCAACCCAAAGTCCGACAAATGACAATAATGATTCAAGCTTCTCTTTTACACAGGAGATTTTCCAGGTGGAAACAATCTCGGTGGGTACTTCTGCTTTCGCCCCCTCTTATCCTTTGAAGATGCCATATAACCTGCAAAAATTTAACATATATATATATATTAATCAATACATCTATGAAACAAATTTACTACCAATACATACGATGACAAACAAATCTACCACAAGCTATCGATGCCAAACAAATCTAACAAATCATCCTCTCAAACAAATCAAACAAATCACCAATAGCTATCAAACAAATCTACCACAACAAAGCTAAGCTACCAAACAAATCTACCACAACTATCAAACAAATCTACTACCATGACCATCGTTAATACCAACAAAAACTAAACCATAAACAAATCTACCACCACTATATATATCAAACAAATCTACCATCACTATCAAACAAATCTACCACCATGACCATCCTTAATACCAACAAAAACTAAGCCATAAACAAATCTACCACCACTATATACCATATATCGAATAAATCTACCACCATTACCCCGACATATATTAAAAATCTACCATAACGGCTCTGTAAATCCTCACCGGAATAATCTTCTCAGGCGAGCGGACTGTTTTCACCGGTCAACTTTGTACCAATCTGAGCTCGAGCTCCGATAGATCTGTATAAAAAAGGGATAAGTAACAATTAGTTGTCTCATAAAATCTCGATAAACAAAGCAATTTCGTAACCAAAAAAAAAATAGCCGCCGGTGGACCTTAGCTTTCTCAACGGAGAGGCAAAACAATTTTCCGGCGGCGGATCTAAACAATCCCGATAAACAGTTTTCTGCAATAAACGAATACAGTCTTAGATTTGAAGCTCAAAGTCAGAACCGCTGGAAAATTAAACTAAAAATCTCGGTACCTTTGCTCCGCCTACGATCTTTGCTCCGCCGACGCTGCGCACCGATCCAATCCGTCGCTTATGACGCCACCGACGCTTCGCACCGATCCGATCCGTCGCCTATGACGCCGCCTCCGATCTGTCGCTTACAAAGCAGCCGGAATCCTCCGATCTGTCGCCTACGACGCCGCCTTTTTTTTTTTTTAGGTTAAATTTGTTTCACTTTCGTTATCGGACAACAATTTCGTTATCGAGCAATAATTTCTCTTAATTCTCTTTTGTTTATTTTCTTTATTTTATTTATTTATTTAATTACGAAAATAGTTTTTTTATGGCATTTTTGTAATTATGTTAAAAATTTAGAGTTTTATGTCTTTGCACAACTTTATAAGATTATTGTAGTAAGTCAGTTGTAGGAAGGTGTTATTCTAGTAAATACCCTATTTAGTAAGGTTATTATAGGTAAATAGCTCTATAGTTTATAATGAGAGATTTTTTTTTGTTTTGTCAAGGCATTGATTTCAAATCTTATACAGGAGTTTATACATTTAGAATATATCAATAATAAACAAACATAATATTACATAACCAAACATTAAAAAAACGATGAAAAAGTGAATTTCCACGATGCTTTGGATATCGAAGCCTTACTCGCCAACAAGTTAGAAAACCTGTTTCTTTCCTTTTCCAGAATCAATCACAAAATGAGATCGTCGATCCTGGTCATCATCTCTTGAGTGAAACTTCATAATCAACTAATCATACTCCATGTATTCTCCATGAGAGATATTTCTATGGTACAATAACTAATAATTTATTTTAGTTAACTTTATTTATTATTTATTAATTTGATCAAATTTAAAAATCGTCACATAAAGTTACGGTATCAATATTTCTAAGCTTAATATATACATATAAATCTTTATATATGATTTTTATATAGATGTAGCTTAATTAATATGCTTATATTTGCAACCTTTATTGATTTCATGTTTTAGATAATTACGTCTATTCAATTATCGAGTGGATTTTCTAAAAGTTTAGTAAAGTGAAATCAATATGCAGACGAAAACAAATAATAATTTTTTTTTTTGTCTCACACAAAATACAAAATTTTCAAAGGTTAAATTAACTTTATTTGAGTAAATATCGGCATCGCATGCCAATATCTAAAATTCCAAACCCAAGCAGTAATTCAGTTGATTCTGGGCGGAGTCTACAATCAGCTATACACATCTCCACTACATCTCATGCTCTCTTTTTAATCCAACGGGTTAAAAATCATGATTGTCTCTTAATCTCCACATGTTTATCTCAATACACCAAAAGTGTATAGGCTTGCGTGTATGTGATCAGTGGATTTTACATTTGTTAATATGTGTTGATATATAAGCTGACTCAAGACCCCAAAAGCGGTCTCTCTCTATACTTTGCTTCTCTCTCTAAACTTTCTCTCCTCTCTCAAGTTTTTTCCTAAACGATGAAGGTTTTCGTGAAGACTCTCAAGGGGACAAACTTCGAGATCGAAGTAAAGCCTTCGGATACGGTGAGCTAATCTTCTGAATCCGAATCTTTCTTTTCTATTGCGTTAACTGTTTATTAGGTCTGATTTGGTTCCCGTAATCTGTTGTTTGCCTTGGGGGAAATTGGGTTTGAAATAGTGAATCTCGCGAGTCTCTGATTTGAAATTCTGGCTTGTGTTTGCAGCATACTGTTGTTTCGGGTTGATAATTTCTTTGTGACGATTCATGGTTCCGTTTCTGTCTACCGATTGGAATTCGAATTAGGGTTTTTTGTGAGTCTGTAAGTTTAGTGATAGTATTGGCTTTGGGTTAACTGTTGGACTGTTTAAAAGTGTAGATTATCTTTGGCTTCGTGTTTTTCATTATGAATCTGAGTTTTGGTTCTCTAAGATTATGTTAAAGCTAATTATACTTAGGATCCTATCTGGGTTTCATCTGTAGAAGTGTTCATAGATTCACAATATAGGAGTCACTATATTTTCTTAACCTTGAGATGTTTTTGAGATGCATATTAACATTTTGGTGATGTCAGGTCTCTGATGTTAAAAGAGCTATAGAAAACATTCATGGTGCGCTATACCCCGCTGCTCAGCAGATGCTGATCCACCAAGGAAAGGTTCTCAACGATGCGAGTACATTGGAACAGAACAGCGTTGTTGAGAACAGTTTCATTGTTATCATGCTGTCTAAGGTGTGAGGTTCTTTCATTGTTGATGTTTTGTTGGCCACAGTTTCGAGTTAGTAGTATTGGGATTAGTAACTAATGGATGCTGACTTGTTACACCATTGATTTATAACTTGATGAAACATAGGCCAAGGTTTCTTCAAGCGGTGCATCGACTGCATCGGCACCCGCACCTGCACCAGCACCTCAGGTGAATAAATTTTTTTGCTATGGTTTACTCAAGTGTTTGAGGCTTTCTATTTGCAAGTGAAATGAAACAAAATTTGCGTATCTAGATCACACTTTTAGTTTGTCTAATTGAATTGCTTGGATTCTTAGACCCAGCCTGCACAGACAGTAGCCACACCTCAGGTTTCTGCTCCAGCTGTCTCAGTGTGAGTTCCAGGCCTTCCTCTCACTTTGAAAGCGAAATTTTCAGGTTCTTCTGTTGACGAATCCCTCTATATGCCGCTTTGCTAATTTGCTGTACTTTTGCTTGCGCTTTACAGTCCAGAGCCTACAAGTGTTGCAGCACCGGCTGTTCCTGCAGCTGCTGCTTCGTAAGCACTTTTCAGAGCTGTTATATACCTGTTGTCAAGTTTCGTCTTACCCTGATCAATATTTACTTAGCTTCTGCTTTCTTTTATTTTGTTGGTTGAAATAGGACTCAAGCAGATGTTTATGGTCAAGCAGCTTCAAACCTTGTTGCTGGAACTAACTTAGAATCCACCGTTCAGCAAATTCTTGACATGGGTGGAGGTAGTTGGGACCGTGACACTGTTAACCGAGCCCTGAGAGCTGCCTTCAACAACCCTGAAAGAGCCGTTGAATATCTGTACTCAGTATGTTTCTTTCCACTTAACTTGATTCTACTTTTATCATCCTATGTTATATTGCTTACCTTTGATTTGCCATAACTCTAGACTCCTTTACTCAGTCTTAGCTCCTATTTTACTTTTGTTTGATACATATCAGGGCATCCCTGCTCAAGCTGAACTCCCAGCAGCCCCTCAAGCCGCAGCTGCAGCTGGACAGGCTGCAAACCCTCTAGCACAGCCCCAACAAGAAGCTGCTCCAGTTCCTGCAACTGGTGGTCCCAACGCGAATCCGTTAAACCTGTTCCCTCAGGTACGGTTCTTAATTCGCAAAATGTAATTGACTTGTTCCGCTTGCGTATGGATTCGTTTTATGACGTCTACTCTTTATCTGTCTTCTTCACTCAGGGCATGCCTGCTGCAGACGCTGGTGCTGGAGCTGGTAATCTTGATTTCCTCCGTAACAGTCAACAGGTACCTTCAGATTCTTCTCCATTCAAGAAAATAAACCTTCAGGCTTTTCCTATTATGATATTTACAAATTCTTTTGCCTTTCCTCAGTTCCAAGCTTTGCGAGCTATGGTACAAGCAAACCCACAAATTCTTCAGGTAAAATTATTAACTTTTTTTCCTTGATTAAGGTTATGTAACATTTGATTTTCATTACTTATAATGTTTTGTTCTGCACAGCCTATGCTTCAAGAGCTCGGTAAACAAAACCCACAGCTTGTGCGACTAATCCAAGAGCACCAGGCTGACTTTCTACGCTTGATAAACGAGCCCGTCGAGGGAGAAGAGTGAGTTTATATTACAATTCTTCTGCACATTTTAATCTATAATTCTTTTGTCATTGAGCTGAGATCTCATTTCATTTCCTCATCACTACCATCAGGAATGTGATTGAACAATTGGAAGCAGCAATGCCACAAGCTGTTACCGTCACACCTGAAGAGCGTGAAGCCATTGAACGGGTTTGTTTCCCTCTTTTCTCTCCATTTGCACTTGAACCAGAGACCTTTTTTTTTGTGCTGCATTATTTTCAATATTGATGTCTTTGTATTTGGTTACACACAGCTTGAAGCGATGGGGTTTGATCGTGCGATGGTGTTAGAAGTGTTCTTTGCGTGTAACAAGAATGAAGAACTTGCAGCTAACTATCTTCTAGATCACATGCACGAGTTTGAGGACCAATAATGGAAACAAGAAGAAACAAAGCAAAATCCATTTCTTCCTCCTACCACCTAAACTCAGAGACCCATCTTTTCTGTTTCTTTTTTTTTTTCTTCTCTTTTAAGATTTACTTTTATGATAATCTCTCTTCTCTCAATGCATTTGACAAGTTTCATGTTTATGTTCATGGGAGTTGATGTGCTTATGTGTTACATTTAAAACTTATCATAGTTTATCTTGTTTGAAGATGTTTCTCCCTTTATCCTCTTTAGGCTTCAAATTTACTAGATCATCAGTTGAAAATTTGGTTCTGAATTGCATTAAAGGGCTTGGAACTAGAATCAAACTGGTTTTTGTTAAACCAAAATTGATTCGGTTCGGTTTATTCGAATTAATTTGGTTTTCAGGCGCTCTCTCATACTAAAACGAAGAACGGAAACTAATCGATGTGACTATAAATTACAAACTGGAACCGTTTTGGCCCATTAGTTGGCCCATTTATCAGCTTGGAGTAGATCTTAGCAGTAGCACTCAGCAGCATGGCAGGACACGTGGCTGGTCGAGGCATCCGTCACCTTTAGCATCCAACACTTGTCAACCATCCATTGGATCTCTTAACTCTACGCCTCGAAAACAGTTTTATTCCATATTCAATTGTATCAGATTCACAGTTTCTTCATATTCCAAATTTGAAAACGCAGTTCGAATCAGATCTTCAGACGAACCCAAAAAAGAAGGTAAGCCCTTAATTTTCTCTCTCTAATTTTCGTTCCTTCTAGTTCTCGTTTTGTATAGATCTGATGATGTTGGTTTGTATTGATTCTGGAAAATCGATCTGATCGATTCGCCACTTTTCGCTGTTCTTATCGCTGTTTTCAGTAAGAAGCTGAGTGTGTTCTTCTTAATCTGTTATGGATTCGCCATTTTTCGCTGTTCTTATTCACTGTTTTCAGTGAGATCATGAGTGTGTTCTTCTTAATCCGTGAAGAACATGATTCAGTGAATGAGTGTATAGATGTTAGTCTGGGTTATGGCACGGCGTGAGGGTTAGCAATTGTTTCTGCTTAGTAAGATTTTCGCTAGATTCTTAAAATCGAAGATGTCAAAATCTGTGATGAGTTTGATTCAGTTGTTGCACGGCTATAGGGCTAGTAATCGTTTCTGCTTAGTTAGATTTTCGCTATATTCTTGAATCGAAGATGTCGATTGAATCTGTGATGAGTTTGATTCAGTTGTTGCACGGTTTTAGGGTTTAGTAGATCCTAACTGTTTTCGCTTTGTAGGATTTGCTCTAGATTCCTGAAAGCGAAGATGTCATCACGTGAAGAGAATGTGTACATGGCGAAATTAGCCGAGCAAGCCGAACGCTACGAAGAAATGGTTGAGTTCATGGAGAAAGTTGCAAAGACTGTTGATGCCGAAGAGCTCACCGTTGAAGAGAGGAACCTTCTCTCTGTTGCTTACAAGAACGTGATCGGAGCGAGAAGGGCTTCGTGGAGGATCATTTCTTCGATCGAGCAGAAGGAAGAGAGCAAAGGCAATGAAGACCATGTCGCTATTATAAAGGACTACAGGGGGAAGATCGAAACCGAGCTTAGCAAGATCTGCGATGGGATCTTGAATGTTCTTGAGGCTCATCTCATTCCATCTGCTTCACCAGCTGAATCTAAAGTGTTTTACCTTAAGATGAAGGGAGATTATCACAGGTATCTCGCTGAGTTTAAGGCTGGCGCTGAGAGGAAAGAAGCTGCTGAAAGCACCTTGGTTGCTTACAAGTCTGCTCAGGTTGAGCGATTTTTTCTTCCTTCATTAAAAAAACATTCGATGCTATCATCTCTCTGTGGTTATAATTGAATCTTCTCCTGTAATGTTGCAGGACATTGCCATTGCTGAGTTACCTCCCACTCACCCGATCAGGCTTGGTCTTGCACTCAACTTCTCTGTGTTTTACTATGAAATCCTTAACTCCCCTGACCGTGCATGCAGCCTCGCGAAGCAGGTTTGTTGTAACATCATCATCATCTTTATAACATCATTTGCTTCCATGTGAAATTGTTATCAACTCTTCTTAACTTTTTTTGGTTCTGCAGGCTTTTGATGAAGCTATCGCAGAGCTGGATACATTGGGTGAGGAATCATACAAGGACAGTACACTGATTATGCAGCTTCTCAGAGACAATCTCACTCTCTGGACTTCAGACATGACCGTAAGCCTCAACACAATATAGATTCATCTTTCTTTCCTCAAAACCAAACCAAACATTACTTAAGCCATTAGTTCTGTAATTGACATGATTGTTTATCTATGGTCGATACAGGATGAAGCAGGAGATGAGATAAAGGAGGCACCGAAGCCTGATGGCGCCGAGTAAACCGAAGAAGAGGAAGTCATATTATTAAAAGGTAGAAACTTCCTAGAAGGTTATGTGATAATCTGAGTGAGAGAAAGCTCAGGATTCTTATAAGAAACCGTTTTATTGTTATTTTGTTTGTTTGGAAGACAATCGAAATCTACATTGCTATTGATTCTCCTCTTTTAGGTTCCTTCAAAATTTGATATATTTCTCCTTTTAATGAAATCAAAACATACATTCTTCTGTTGTTAATTTTCTTATTTTCGATTTTTTGGTTCTGGATTTGGTAAACTAAGCATATAGGTTTATTAAGAAGAAGTATAATTACTTTAATACATGATTTTTAAATGGATGAACTTCGTGCAACCGTTACTTAATTACTATAGAGTTAAGAATTAAGGGCGTAGTATAATTTTTTAACCGAGTGTATAAAATAGGTTGCAAATATCCGAAATTTTAGTGATATCCGTGATCCGTTCCGTCCAATTCAGATTAACAAGTTTTTTATCATATTTACTACGTTTTAAATCGGATATTCGGTATTCGAATATCTATTAAAATTCAGATTTTTAACCAAATATCCATCTGTTTCAATAAATATTAAATAAATTATAAAATAATTAAAATATTTATAAAAATAATTAAAAATTCAAAAATTAACTCATATATTAAATTTTAAATTGTTCTTTTTAAATTTATTTAAATTTTATATTAAAATAACTAATAAAATAAATATAAATTCACAAAATTTTATATATAAATATATCAACTATACATTCTATATGTAATTATTAATATATATATTTTGGAGTCGATCATATATCCGGTTTTTAAAATTTTAATATTTGTGATTTGCTCCGTTTTTAATAGATATCAAAATTTAGTATTTGCTTTACTCCATAAAAGCTACGGATATCCGGATTTTTCGAATGCAAATAGCGGATCAAAACAAATATAACAGATAATTTGTCCAGTCCTAAAAACCGTTGAGAAAACCAGTGCTTCCTTTCCGGTTCATTTATCCCAATTGTATCAAACCATGACCTAAAATTTGAATTAAAAACCACGACAACGGTACGCACGCTTCTACGCGTTTTCCATTTTTTCCTTAATTCTTTTTTTCGGTGATTTCCTTTTTTCATTCAGCCTAGGGTTTACTAAATAAATGTAATCAGATATATAATCCACATTACCTACATAATCAATTCCTAATAGTCACCTTTTTCTTTAACTTAGGGTTTACTAAAAAAACGTAATCAGATATATAAACCACACTACGCACATAATCAGGGACTTTCCATAAACACTCGATCACGAAAAAAAAGCAACAATTCGTGCGCTCAAAATAATGGCGACATTGTTCTCTTCTTCACCCACAAGCAAAGATCTTCGCGCAGCAACAATTAGGCTTCGATTCGCAGATATCATCGTCAAATCCAAGGTTCGGAAACTAATCAAGGAGAGCAGTAGCTCTGGTGGAATGATGATGATCAGGAGAGAAAAGCAGCTTCTCGAGCGGAAACAACTTCAAGAGATGGCTAGAATTGAAGCGGCGGCGAAGAGAAGAGTCCTCAGGTTAAAAAGCCGACAAGCGCTAGAGAAGATGGAACAAGAAACTATTGTCGAACAAAATCACTTGGTAACCGAGGAGGAGTTGGTGAATCTATGCGGTGGATCTCGCCTTGCAAGAAGAAGTCGGAGGTGGCTTAAAGAGTTTGGTTTGGTTTTAAAAACCGACGATGATGATGAATCTCTGGAAAACCCCGAAGCTTGCGTTGATCTTGAAGAAGGTGAGATCGTTTAGAATATAGTATATTTTGCCCATATAAAACTAACATGATTGTTTAATATTTGTTGGTTGGTGTCTCGCATCATCATAAAGCAAACTCTTTTTTTTTTCTTTTCTGTTTTAATGTCTAGTAAGAATTAGGAAGTATAATCATATGTATAACGAAGTAAAACAAATTGTTTAGGACCACTCATCTTTTCGCTTACGGTCTGCTTAAACAGTTTCTTGCAGCACCAAAACAATATGTTTCCTTTTTTTGCTCTGGAATCAGTCACCATCTCTCTGAATCCATTATCCAACTTTGTAAGTTTGATGATGAAACTTGATACCCTTTATGAAATACAGAGCTAATAAAATCAACAAGTTTGCTTCTTTTTGTCTGCTTTCAAAATTCGGTTAATACATTCAGCGATGTTGGTTTTGTTGTGCTAAGTTTTCAGGTCTCAAGTCTTGGATTTATTATACTAGCTGAGATGCTACCATTAATCTGCAGAGAGTTACAAGGAAAAATGACCTTACTACAAGACTTCACGCTATTAGATCATGTAAGTTTCAAGTTAACGATTCCTAGGATCAAGTTCTTGTTGCTGCAAGAACAAGTGCTTATATGATATGTGACTCTGGGAGCTACCTGATTGATGTTGATGATGCAGAGTATTGTATGATCCTAAGCCGAGTCGATTTCTTTCTGACCGTTGCCTATAGAAGATGGGGGACTCTGATGGCATCTCGAAGGACATAAGACAGAGGAACACTGAGGGAAACTCACTCAAAGAAGAGAATGAGGAAAGTTAATTGCTAAATGAACGTCGTATGGTCTATATATAGAAATGAATCAATGATTTTAGTAATAATTATCCAAGTTATTGAAAATTCTGCACAATGTTCTTTGATTTATCTGCAGATCCTTTTTTGTCAAAGCAAAAGTCTGGCTCATGTCTGGAGTCATCTTCACCATATACAGGCATGACCATTCTGTTGGATGAGCTGTTGATCGCCGGTGAGCTTCAAGAGTCTTTAATGTCATCACTTGTCAGTTCATAAGAAGTCGATAATGAAGAAGGCAACGAGATTGCCACAAAAAATATATAAAACAAAATAATGTATTTTTCTCATTTTGCTATACCCCCAAACCAAAGAACTATCCTCGTTTACCAATACTCAAATTCAACTTTCCACTACATAAACACACAAGTTTGCTTACATAGTTGATGTCTTGATGATGATGGTATCACACAAGTCACACTAGATGAGAGAGTAGACAACATCATCGTACGTAGGGAAGTCCAACGGTCCATCACCAAGAAGTATCACAGAAGTCACAAGAACCGCGAGAAATACAATGAACACAAGAAACGATTTACACGGATCAGCACTGTTCTGCTTCTCTGGTCCAACAGTAACAATCCCTTCTTGTCTTTCACTTTCTCTTCCAAGTTGAAACACAGGACAAGTGAAGAATCCGTACACGATCCCTGCTACAAGTGCTCCTAGATTTGTCCTGTCACGATGATGACTCATAATGTTAAAAAAAAAAAAGGTTCACAGTCTCCAAGAAACAAACCTTGATGGAGATTGGGAAGCTTACCAGTCATCTATTGGACCGAAATGGCTTAAGATGAGACCAAGTCCTGACATTATAATGGCCTTTTGAAACAAATCATCATATTCATCTCTTTTGATCATCTCTTTGTTCTGACTTTGGTCGACGAGCCAAGCTCCTATTAATGCAAATGCCGGTCCCTGCACCAATCAGTTTACTTAAGGAGGACACTGAGATTTAAAAACGGTGCAATTTGATAGAAGAAACTAGTTAACTTACAGTTCCTCCAACTGTAGGATCTGGTGTATGAAGAAAGCTCATGAAATTACCAGAGACTCCTCCGAGAATGTAAATGAGACAAAACGTGATTAATCCATAGTCACGGCAGACTTTTGGTCCAAATGTAAGCAGAGCCCATGAGCTAAGAGCTACATGAGTGATTCCTGAGTGCTGCAGATGTGAAAATGAAAGTGTTTCAGTGACAAAAAAGAGGAAACTTTACATGAAACCAAGTCATCAATGATTTTGACAATATTGTTGTTGGCTACTTTAAAATCTCCCGGTTGTGTTTGGTCAAGTGTGGTTTTGAAACAGTAAAGAAAGGGAGAACAGACCCAATTTGTTGGTCTTGTACCAGAAACATGGGTGTGACTAGCCTCCACCATTCTCCAGCCATGATTAGATCGTTTATCTTTGCTCCATATAACAGCGGAAGCGATAAAAGTCCCATATCGTTGTTCCTAACTGGAGCCGCCGCTTCAAACAAGCACACACCGACATTTATGGATGCTAATATGCTCCTGCATTAACAATGGAGACAACTAATCAAAGGCCTTCTTAAGCATCAACAAGAAATATCTAAGACAAACAAGATGTGATTTAAGAGTTCTTACACAGCATAGAAGTTCAATGTATCATCTGATTGAACATCATCATCATCGAGCTTCTGGAAAGCACTATTATTACTTTTGATATCAGCCTTTATCAGTTTGCTTGCTACTGAACCGTCTTCTGGTTTTACCATCGCATCTGAGAGTCAAAGAAACAGCCGAGTAAGTGGGTATTAACAAGAGGAAAACCGAAAAAGATCAAGAAACGAAACACTGATTTCAAGAACATCATATTATTATTATACCTTTTTGGAGTTTGTCAAGATATGCGCTCAAAGATTCCAACTTTTCCTCCGCATTGAGTTCAGCTTTGCGATCGATTTCATCTCCCGTTGAGACAGAAGGCTTCTTCTTATCGTCGCTTTGAAGTTTCCCAAAGTACGAATCTAACAGTTTAAGCCTCTTCTTGATAGTCTTGGTCTCTGATGACGCTCTGACCAAGCATAGCTTTCCTCTTGAAGCAAGACAATACGGTCTCATTGTTCTATGTTTCAGACCATTAGTGCTGCTGCTAGTAACCTCTGCCTTCATTAACACATCGAAAGCCGGACAAGGGAAGGTTCTGCCAGACGAAAAACGTCTTGAACCATTCGAATCAAACAATAGTTCTCCTTTGCTATGTCGAGTCGAAGTTCCATTCTGAAAAACATTATCTTTACAGGGGAATTCGTGGTGAAGAGGAAACAACGACGCCATTATAAAGCTCGAATCTGTGCATTAAGAACAAACATGTCATCACTCATCATCATATCTCTTCATCCACCAAACTCTGAAAGTACACTATGTTTTAAAAGAAAAGTGGAGAACATTGACAAAAAGATTGGGGTTTTATGACAAATATATAGAACAGCAACTTAAGAAGAATCAAAAATCTCAGACGGAAACAGAGCAGATAAATATTCATTATGGGATCAAAGAAAACATGCAAGAGATAACAATTTAACCACCGAAAAGAACAGATTCAAGAAAGACTTTGATTATATAATCTCACTGGGGCATTTAATCAAACAACAAAAGAGCATAACTACGATTTTCCACAAAAGTTGTCGAAGAACTAAACACACGAAACGAGTACCGTTTCCGACAGATTTTTAAGTATAGAGAGTCGAGAGAGGAACAATCGAACAGAAACCGGAAGAATCAGAAACAGAGTCAGAGAAAGTGATAAAAATTACCTTTGACGAAGAAACCTGACCCTATCTTTCTCTTGCTCAGACCTTAAGATGAAGATTGTGGTTGCGAGGAGGATTAGGATTTAGGACGATAAGTGAGCGTCTTAGGAAATGAAAATTACGTTTTCGGAACAGAACCCAAAAGCGACAAATAAAAAAACAAAATTTATTTCAATGGTTCAAGCTTCGTTTCGCTTTTTAGATATTTTTATTCTTTGAACACAACTGACTCACATGTCACGAGTCACAAGTACAACTCTCTCCAGAGTTGACCATTCGTTTGCTTTCTGTATTTTAACTAGATTTGTGATAATATTTTATTCTTTCTGTTTCTTTTTTTCTAAATTAGTATTATTGTAATTCTTAGTATTTTTTTTTTATCAACCATCATACTTTATATTTATTTCTCAACCATCTCAAATCAATTCATCTTAAAGTTGAGACAAACTATCCTTTAACAATTGTGCACTGCAAACAAACAATTAGACCGGTCAAGAAGACAGGCAGGTTAAAACATAGTTTAGAACCACCAATTTTTTAGTTAATTTTTGAGCCACAAATACAAAAAATATTATATTTATTAGATTACAATATTAATAAAATTATGTTTTTAAACTATTATTATTTAAATATTAAATATATATATATATATAAAATTGTTTTAGATTACTAAAATAGTTAGACCAGTCCTGCAAACAATGTGTTTGATTATAAGAAAAATTTAGTAAATGGACTTAGATAATAACAAAATTAGGAAAATAGAACGAATAATTAAAAATTAGGTTGATACATATTATATACAGAAATTATGATTATTTTGCTTTTATAATTATTTGATGCGGTTTTGATAAATAACAATTAAATTACTATGCTAACTAATATGATATCATGATAATTATTTTAACTATGCTAACTAATATAATGCTCAATTAACACATTGTACAAATATCAAGTTAACATCATAACTATCGGGTTAATGTTGCTATTATTTCATGAAAGTAGGAGTTAACTTTGTTCGATTAGCACAGTGTACAAATATCGAGTTAACATGATAACTATCATGTTAACGATGCTATTATTTCATGAAAAATAGGAGTTAATTTTGTTAACTGTATAAGTTATGCAAAATTATCATGTTAACAATGTTATCATATTGAAAACTTATCATACTAACGTTGTGAGCACAATAACTATCGTGTTAATAATGTTATCATATCAAAAAATTATCATACTAACATTGTGAGCTTGATAACTATCGTATTAAGTTTAATATCATCAATTTCCACCCTATCACTACCATCACAACCACCACCTATAACCACCACCACCACCATCGATCACTACCACCACTATCACCACCACCGACACTACCACCACCACCACCACCACCGGCAATTCCATCACCACCACCACAGCCACCAGCGATTCCATCACCACCACCACAACCACCGACAACATCATCACTACCACCAACCATCACCAACACCACCACCACCACTATCTTTCACCTCCATCACCGCCTAAATTCCTCACCACTGTAGCATATCCAATCGAATCGGAAGCCATTAAAACCTTGACGCCATCAACATCACCACCGAAATCCTCCATCACCGTCATTGGACCATCATTTATCTTCTTCTCTTCTTTATATTTTTTTCTTTTCTTTGCCCTAATTGTAATTGATAGAATTTTGTAAGAACTGCAATGTCTTTACATATTGAACAAGTGGGCTAAAAAGGTGTCAGTGCTGTGGACTTAATTTTGTTGTTATTGAAGTCCATATAATGCAATTTCTCTTGATTATAATTTATAAAATGATCGATTCTGGTAATGCATCAACTGTTTCCGATAAGTTCATGAAAACGTTTCAAAAGAGAGCAATTAGCTGTAAGATCAAGTTCATTGAGAGAAAGTTATATTTAGCTCTTCTATGATCAAAGATATATATGCCAATAACACTAAAAGAAACCAATAGTTGTCAAATGGAGGGAGATAAGTAAGCCTTATTGTAATGTGGTTTTTAGTTACCAATCGATAATGACTAAAGATAAAATTAGCAAAGTCGATTACTTATGAAAATAAGAGTTTTAAAAAACTTAAAGCTTAATACACCACAGGTCACAATAGTATGAAGAACCAATTACAGTAAAATCTCTATAAATTAATAATGTTGGGACTCTTAAATTTTATTAATTTATAGAGTTATTAATTAATCGATAAATTATTAATCTATCAATAAATTATTATTTTATTAATTTATAGAGATATTTTTAATTTGAATTTTAATATTTATCAAAAAAACAAAATCAATATTTTCAACAATGTACAATTCATTCAAAAAATATCATAATAATGAATTTAGAAGATAAATTAAACAAATTTTATAAACTTGAAACAATAATATTATCATAGTTTACTATATTATATTATTAATATATGTCTAAATATATAATTATTAATTTATATTATTATTGGGACTATATTTTGACATAGAACTTTCAAAAAGTATTATTTTATTATCTTATCGAATTTTGTCGATTTTTACACTGGTCCGATTTGGCACCGGCAAAAATTATTAATTTATAGTGATTATTAATTTATCGAGTATAAATTTATAGAAGTTCTGCTGTAATAAGAAACGATGAAAACACCATACCAAGAACAGAAAAAAATATAAAATAAAATAAAAGGTAATCAATAACGACACATTGTGTAAAAGCCCACGATCCTAAATACTTGCCATAAGCCTCACATCCTCTACGTGGTCTAGAAAGATGTAAGTTCTACAATCCCAGTAAGCTTCCATTCCACGGATTCTAGTTTTAGTGATGATGTTCCTCTGGGATCGTAGTAGGCAAGGTAGTTTCTATACTCGGGAGGAGACAACACAATCTCACCTTTGTTAGTCATTCCAACAAAGCGTAACATAGGCCCTGAAACTACAGTCTTCCAAAGAGGAGGCAAAACGTAGCTATAACTCGACCATTGATGTTTCTTGGCGTCTTCAAGAACCCACAGTTGAATACCTACAATTCCGCCATATGAAACGCCGAGATGAAGATTAGCTAGCTTACCCTTGTAGTTTACCAGATTTGATTCAAATTCTCCTCCCAACTTAAGTACTAGTTCCATGCCGTGAGCTTTCCTGATGTAACTGAACATCTCAGATCTAACTTCGAAGCAAACTATACCAAACCCATAATAATCATGAGCACGGACCATAGCTATATAATACAAAACACCATTGATGCATATCCCATCACATACACCAGCAGCAACATCTCGTATATCACATGCGATGGTTCTCCATGACAGTTTTTCCCCCAATTCCTACTGTTAGAACTTGATGCTGATCGGTGGATCTATGGTCATCATATGAAGTCTTGGCCATGCATAATACTTTGAGTTGTTTGTCAATCGGATCATACCCTAAACACTTTCTTACTACAACATTCAAACCCTTTTTCATATCGGGTAAGGTTAAGACTTGTCCTGTGCTAAGGTTACATATTGATTGCACAGTACCATTCGTTAAAACAAAAGCCCATTGACGATATATGCCCAAGGGACAATAATATGGGAAGGTCTTATGAAAGCTGGCGGTTAAAGGACACAAATCGCGAGGATGCGGCGATGAGCAGAGGAGCATTTTGCCGTTTGATAGACATGCAAACGGTATCTTGGGGCCAGACGAAGATATGGTGAAGAACGATTCAATGTGTTTAATATAAACATATTGGGCTTAGGAGTCTTAACATATTTTAGTTGATAGTATTAGATATGGTAATTATCCTATTCTCCTTGTAAACCCTTATGTATAAAAGGGTAAGGCCTTTAGGTGTTTAGCGTATCGAGAAACTGATACAAGGGTTTTACCCCTTGTAGGACAATTGCCCTAGCTTGTACTAGTCAGTTACGGTATAGCATAGGGTTGTATCAATCCAAATGGGAAGAGTTGAAAGACAGAAGAGTTGAGAGTGGAATATCTAAGTCAAGCAAGCCATGAAAGGGGTTTTGTTGGCCAAGCAACAGTTCTAACAACCTAAGTGAAACAAGCAGCAACAAGGTGAAAGCAAAAGCAAACTAAGCAATTCTAAGCAAGAAAAACAGAGTAAAACAGAGTAAAACAGAGCAAATCCGAAATTCAAATTAGAAAAAGACAAGTTCCTATATGTGGTTATTGACTTTGGGGAATTTCAGGCATTGATTAAGGCTGTTTCAAACTACATTGATCAAGCAAGTAAGCAAGCAATGGTGGTTCCTAGACATAGAGTTCACAACTAAGCTAGTTAGATCCAATCTCTTGGCAAATAACCCTTTGCTAAACATCTTAACAAGAACTAACTCTCATTAGTGCTAAAACATCAAGCAAGCAAGACTAATCAACTCTATTCAAGTCAAAATGCTCCTCAAACAGTCAATCTCTTGAGCCAAGGCCAGCAAATCCTCTATTAAACAGGTTCAGCATTTCATCAAACACTTAGTGGGCATAAGAGAAAGCTAACAACCTAGACCAGTTTGATC